GAACTCAGAATGTTTGAGAACTCAGGATGTTTGAGAACTCGGAATGTTCAGACTTGTATTTTCCATCTGAATTCCAACTCCTTTTGTTTGGAGCTTATCTGTTTGTTTCCATGTGAAGAATGCCATTAGAAGGAGTCCCATGATCATGGAAAATCCTGGAATCCTGGAAAAAAGTTGTCCTGGAAAGTCATGGAAATCAGGATCTCAGGTTGTTAAAGGCTCTACTTGTCAGTTCAGTGGCTGTGGCAGTCTTCCAATTCGTAATACCCAACAGCGTTTCTCTGCAAAATGGGACTAAATGTCATGGAAATTGTTGTGTTTTAATCCTGAAAATGTCCTCGAAAAGTCCTGGAATTTGTTTCTAGATTTCTGTGGGAATTCTGTATTTCCCTCTGCCTCAGATCGTGTTTGTCCCTTGTGGGTTTCTGAAAGGAACAAGAAAACTCTGAGATTTGGAGAAGCACCCTTACACTTGGCCCAACTGGGGCTTGGCATTACTTGTCATGAATATTCAATCATCTGCAACATTTGCATATTCAAGAAGAGTCATCTGACCTGCCTTGTTTTCACTGCTCTTACAGCAGTGCTTCTTTTTCCCAATGGCAATGAATAGTCACTTCATCTCCATTCTCTGCATATCATTTCCATAGTCTGCACCACACCAGTTAGTCCCAGTGCTGAATATTCATGCCATTTGCATATATATTTACATATTCTGAATAACTCAATGTGCTACATGACTGTTTCTGACAGTGACGTGTTTCCACAACAACGCGGAGTACACAGATGGCCAGACATGGGCGGATCCCCTGCAGCCATGTTTCACGTGTACCTGCATGAACGGTCTGGTGCAGTGCGGACTACAGTGCCCTAGCATCAGATGTCCAGACGCTAGCGTCAAGACCGGAGAATGCTGTCCAACGTGTCCAGGTAGGTCTGGTTCCTTCTTGGCATTACTAACTCTTTGGTCCATCCTTGAAAGATCTTTGGATTTGCTTCATTTCCAATGGATAAGGACCCTTAGTTGCTTCAGGGCTTGAGCACAGAAGCCTGACTATTTTGACCCGTGCATCAATCTGGACTTTTTTTTGGGGGGGGACGAAGGGGGCACATTTTATGTAGAAGATGGCTCAAGCCAGCATATCGCCGTAATCACACCAGTCATTGTGTGGAACACGGAATGAAATACATCAAATTGCATGAGTTTAGTTTGAGCTAACTATGAAGTGCATGCTTTTGACAGCAAAGACATTTTCCGTTAGCTTTCCACTAGGTAGAAATTTTAAGCCTTAACCAGTGATAATGAAAAAAAGCTGCCATCTCACTGACCAGGACCTAATTATGTCAGGGTCAGTGAGATTGCAACTTTTTAGAAAAGTTTCCGAGCAAAGGAACAAGCCAGCCATGGCCTTATGATACCCCCACTTGCAACTAGGCCTCAGTGAAATTTCTTACCAAGAAAATGAACAATTACTCTTTGAATTAACTGCCAGTAAATTCTCTGTTTGGTTCTTAAGAAAAACCAACCTACAATCAACAACTTGTTCCAATCTAATGGCAGATCATTCGTTACTTTTCCTCTCTTCCTCACCTTCAGGTCCTTAAAACTGAGGCACAGAGGTCATTGCAACTGGCCAGGTCATGAGGTCATAGTTAACGCAAGATCGCTGGCTTGCAAGCTCAAAAAAACGCCATGCCTTGCTTTTAAGATTTAACAGGATGTAGTTAGATAAGTACACCATAATGCTCGGAAAAGATATATTGATTTCAAATATGTACGGAATAACTACATTTTTTTGTTAGCAATATTGACATTTCAACTACAGGGTAAGAAAAGTGAAATCTGATATCCTGTGAAAAGTTTTGAACTGTTGAGATTACATCGTATGTTGATACAAGACAAAACATAAATCCACAGTGCTTTTTGAATTCTATTCCTCCAACCTTTGTAACGCGAATTAGATTCATTTTCATGATTATGAAAAACCTGCATCGTCTTTATACTCAGTGCATTGCATGGTGAAAAAAAATGTAAATGAAGGTGCACACATCATTGTTGGTTGGAGACCACAAGAATCGTTACCTACTCTGAAGTTTGTTTGCGCAGAACACATTTTATGTGATTTCACAACAAAGTGAATAGAAAGACGCACATATGCCTGTTTCAAAGGTTTTACCGAGACTATTCCATCTTGGTTTGAATCTAATCTTACCTAGCAACCGTCTAGCTTTTTTTTGTAATCTGTATGTATAACACCTTTCTGTTTCAACTCACTAAGTTTTTCTAAGTGATAATGTAGTAGCTAATGTTTGGATGTTAGGACATTTTTGACTGTTCTTGTCAGCAGATTTTTATTTCTAATCGTTGTTACCCATTTAATATGAACCTCTAAGGAATTTCAAGGACCCCATTTCTACTTTCTGCAAAGCTTACAGTTGTTGGCACTCCGGCACTTTGCCTTTTGTTTTTATTTCATGCAAACACTGCTGTAGGGTAGAACATTCTTGCCGATGCCTTAATTCACACTGTTGCCATGGGTGCTGCAAACGACTGAAATGATACGGATTTATCAATGCAAACTATTTTAATGATGGAAGAATACTGATTTTTCTTGCCTTTTTGCAATTGTGAATTGAACTGAAATTTTCCTGTCAGGTTTAGATTTATGCCTACCTCGTGGCTTCAAACTTTTTGAGATCAAGGGGGGAACCGCTTGTAGACTTGGATTTACATTTCACATTGTGGACTTGTTTCTTGACTGAAGGCGCCCCATATTGTCTTGTCTTCCACATGCTCTGTGATCAATTTTGTTTTTATTTGACACACAGCAAGTCCTAGAATATTTGATCAATTCAGAATAGGACTTTTCACTGTATTCACAACCACTTACAATCGGCATCAGGGAAACGTACAGTATTTGTGACCTCTTGCAAACTTTTTGAGATCCCTCCGCAATCATACCTCCATTTTCTTGTAGTCTCATTTACGTGGGTTTCATACCCTTTGTTAATGATTGACACATTGAAAAATTCCATTCAACTAATGCCTAAAATTTGGTAACTTTGTTCAGTGCAAGTATTAAATGAATTATAAATTTTATATTGGAAAACACTGTGTTACTTTTCTCTTGAGTGTAAAGTGGTCACCACTTTTTTACTGTAGATTTTATTGAAAGAAAGAAGCTTTTTGAAAAGATCTAGGGCATGTTATTTTCTGGGAGCAGCCGTGCTGTCAAAATATTTAAAGTTATGTAAAGAAAAGTTTTGTCCAGACTAATGTCCCTGACCATTCATACCATTCAGAAATCAAAGGAATATTCTCCCTTGCATCAGAACGGTGACAAAGTCACCAAACTTCGTCACGAGCCTGTTGCATATTGTCCAATCTCGAGTCAAATAACAAGCAATTGCCATGGCAAGGACACTGCATTTTTTTTCAGTTCGTCTCAAATAATAATGACAGACTTGTGTTTGATTTCTGACTGAGGGTTCTGCCCAGCATCCATGTGCAGAGCTGTTTATGGAGAGTTGCGACATGAGTGTCTCAATTGTTGGAACCAAAATGGTGGGTCATGTGGACAATCATGTGCACAGCACACATCATGAACAGCCATTTTGGTTGCAAAGTCTGAAGTTGGTGCCACTCTCTCTACCCCTATGAATTTGGGCTCAGGTAATGTCACCCCTCAATGCCCGCATGTCCAGCCTCCCTGGGCCCAATGTTGCACGGGTAAGCAAGAATGAGCCGAGGACCGGTCAAAAAATGAACATTTGATACCATGCCAAGATGGTTGGTAACCAGGTAACCCTTCAACGTCCTCTTGACAACATCAAAATTACACTGAGGAGATCTTCTGGTCTGCTAATCTTCAACAAAGATAACTTATCAATTGCATGAAAACTAATGAGAACAGATGCCATTTTATTTATTTATTTGCTGGAAAGAATACAGCAATGTAGTAATCACAAAAAGACGATCTAACACACTCCAAAATCCTGGTTTTCAAAAGTCTGTCTCTGTCTCTTTTGTCCAGACATCACCTTTGGTTCCTCTCGCGTGCAACTGCTTGGAACAATTAATAACTATTTCCTGGACTATGGCATTGGCATTATCAATGCTGAGAGGCCCATCCAAGGTCGCAATCTCTGGCGCGTCCGCATCTGGAGTGCGGCCAGATCCGACGGGGGCGGAGCCAAGACGGAGGTGGTCAAGCAGGCCCTTAACAGGGAGCAGGCGGGCCAGTCCATCAGCCGGACCGACAACCAGCTTCTCTTCCAACGCCTGGAGTACCGTCGAGACTTGCGCGGCCAACCTTGCGAGACCTACCCATACGTCTGTGCTGAGTTCTTTATGACTCGCGATGGCTATGACGAGTACAGCACCTCCACTACCTTCGGCGATGCCATTTCCACAATCTGCCTGGAGGCATGTTAGAAAAAGCCCTCAGTACATTGAAATTTTAAAGTTTGTACGAGGTACACCATTAACATTTTGTAGGTCACATTTGTGTGAAGAGTAATTTTGACAATTTTATCCTGATGTACCTTGGCTGCTGTACAGCAATGCTCGGTTGTGTTGAAAAGTTCGTCTCAAAATGTGAAATTAACAAGAAAATCTGTCGAGGAAAATTTCCTCCCCTTAAAGTTAACAAATGAAGCTGACATCTATGATACTCATCAGACACACAGAACCAACCAGCGTTTGAAGGTGGCTCTCTATGTAAGCATTGCGTGCATTTTTAATTTAATTTTGGGTGCAGTTTGCTTTTGATTTCCAGTTTGCTTCAAAGGAGGACAAAGTTCTGTATTTTGACAAGGACGTTTCTGATTTGGTTTGGATAGAGTGTACCATGGCAGGATCAATGGAGTTTCGGTTGTAGATGTGTAGATCAACCCTAGTCAGTGTTCTTATTTGTTGCTTTAAGTTGGCACTTCGTTGCTGTTTATCCCTTTTCAACAAAAGAATAAAAATGAAGTCAAGTCTCGTATTTTCCATATTTTTATGTAGTCTTGCAACCTGACACCTGGCTCGATCACATTGGCTAGTTGTCAACAGCTTTGTTCTTTAAATGCTTGCTTTGTGGTGTTTTTAATAAAGGATGTATACCATTCATGCTACAAATTCCGTGGGAAATAGGAAACTAAGTTCCTTACATAGGTTGTATAGCATTTGGGCAAGGCAAGAATGATGGGTAAGTCCTTTCAACATTTTTTTTCCCAAGTTCTCATTCAACTCTTTAATTTACAGCTCAGAGTTGGTGATGTTGTGTTTCACTCTTGGAAAAGGTTTGAAGAACAGGGGAAAAGGTGACTAGAAAAGTCATGCAAAACTCAGTAAAGCCAAATCAATGACCAACAGGGAGTACAAGAACTGCAGAAAACGAAATGGAATCCTGAAAACTCAACAGTTCACTTCAAATTCTCACTATCTTTATTTCCAGGGAAGAAGTGCTTGTGTTGGATTCATTACAGAATAGTGTCTTTACCTATGCACAACAGTTTTATAACACACCTTGTACTGTGTACACGCACTGAAGTTCAGGTAACATGGTTTGCTGAAAAGATATCAGAACACAAATCTTGTATTTTTTCATACAATACACATATGCATGTATACATGTATGTATTTTGATGTCATGTTCACTAAAAACATACAAATCTTTGTTAAGGATTTAATACTTGTAATTGTTTAAGTAATAAAAAAATTAGATGTGTTGTGATGATTTATTAAATTAGTAATCAAGAGTTCACAGCTGTCTTGGAAAATCTGAAAGAGTCCTTCTCAAATGAAGTGCATGAACCCCAAAATATATAAAGACAAATCCTCTTCCCCATCTGACCAGCATCCACTCAGCCCCTGAGCAGACACTCATCGACCTCAATGAATACCGAGCGATGATCAACATGTGACTAGACAAACAGCAGAGTTATGAAGACTTGTCGGCTGTTTGGAAAACCTAGAGAGGGATATTGAAAGTGGTACTTTATTACATTTTTGACAATTTTTTCTTTTTTGGTTTGTCAGTGACCACCAAAACAGGGGTGTTCTAAACTTGTCAACATTCAAAACGTAGATTACAAAAAGCCCTTAAACCTTAGTTACAATCTAGCCTACCCCTATTGCATGATGTTTCACCTTGATGTATTCCGAGTTTGCTAAACCTGTCATATGCCCACCCATCTTGAGACAGTCCACGCCAAAGTCCACTGCCGATGCAAGCCAACTTGATAAACATCACAGGAGATGTTATGGTGGACACTTGAGTAACACGTACAAGAAGACGTGGAACTGTTTTCCACTGCAAGCAATCGCTGGAGCATTTCCGTGCTATGTTTTTGCTCTTGAAACGAGCTCAGACGAGCTTCATGCACACAGCTCGACAAACGGGTTTAACGTTCTACTCGTCCAATCAAATTCAAGTTCACAACTGCTCCATCAATCCCATTCTCCGTCGTCTCTCGTTGGTTTTCGTCTTGTTAGCTGCCAGTCTCTGATGATACTAGAAGGAGAGAACAAACACACAGTCTGTATGCCTTTCCAATCTTCAATGTGTTCCAAAATCTCAACACTCTCTTATTACCTCTGAAGTCGTCTTCTGGTAAAAGTCTCTTGCTACGAGTTAGTGGGACACTATCACAACTCAATATGACTGATGCACGGCTCCCTTCAACAGACATGATAAAAATGTGTACGGCAGACCAAGATTGTTTTAAATGCTTCATACTATCTGCTCCAGGTAATCTAGAGAAAAAAAAAATAAATAAAATGTGGATTCCTAGCACTTCCTAAGCCTACCTCTTTGTTTAAGCAGCTGCGAAGATCGGTGTCTTGTTGGTTGCACACACCCATGAACTTCTTGAAGGGGTTCTAGATTAGGGGAGGAAGCAGGCATGTAAAGCTCACAGACAAGACATTGCAAAGTTGGGACTTTTTTGAAATTGTAATCAAGTTTAATAAAACCTTGTGTGTGTCATGGCTACAAAAAGTGGAATAAAAATACTTCAGGTAGGGTGGGTAAGCTATCTTTTCTGTGTAGGAAAACACCAGGAAAAAGTACATCAATTTCAAGGGGCATCACGTTTTAAGCAAAGTAACTGGCTAGGTTGCATTTGCCTCAATCTCTAGAGATTATCCAAAACCTTGCAAATCCAGAAGGGTTAAATTTTACAATTTTCACAAGAATATTGAGAGTAACAGTGGGAGGAGCTTACTTGAAACAGTCAAATGAGGTAGACGTTTGTGTAGCAGGGAGAGCATATAAGAAATTTATGAGAATGGGTGGGGACACTGGATGGGGGGAGGGGTTTTCGAAAGTGATCATCTGATGAGGTGGGAGAAAGATGTGAGGCTGTCAAGAGGAATTTGAAGATGACCTTACATCCTTGTGGCACTGTAGAAGCTTGTTAATGAGAATGTTGCATTCTTCCGTGTGAAGATGAGGAGATAAATCGGGATGCATCCTGGCGACTATCAGGTTTCCACCAATGGCATCAAGACATCAAACGAAGAATGGTATCTAAAGATAACGTCCAGAAAAGTCCATGACAGTAACGGCAAGAAACAAGACCTGAAGCTGAAGCCAAAATGTGCTACACCGTAGACTTGTGCACAAACCCGGTGCTACACGCGAGTCAGACATGTCAGAGGAAAGCGTGCAATAAAGTTTCGCAGGTGTTCTGTTCTACGCGTACGCAGATAAGTGATGCTTCACAGCGTGCCTGTGAATTTCTCTGCTAGTTAATGCGCGTTCTCAGTTCTGCAGCAGTGTAGTAGTGCTACAAGGAAGACAGTGTGGATTCGGCCGTCTCATTTCTGGCTGCATATGCCTGATATGGGCAAAAACAGAAACAAATCCATCTTACGGAGAAATCACTCCAGCTCCTCGTCAGTCCCTCCTGACCTCAAACCCCACCCCCCCACCCCCCCCCCCCCCCCCCCCCCCCCCCCCCCCCCCCCCCCCCCCCACCCCCCCCCCCCCCCCNCCCCCCCCCCCCCGCTAGCTCAGCGCTCATCGAGCCCGACCTGTACCTGCAGACCGTACCTGCCCGGCCGCGGCCAGACTACTCGAGTTATGTCAGAGTCCAGTTTATTCTTGATAAAAAAATTCCAACACGCTATAACTGAATTCCATGCCTTCCAAAAAGCTATAAATTTTACCTTGTCAACAACAATTTAAGCCCGTCGGTGGTAAAAATCATTAAAAAAGCGTCTGCAAGTCCGGCATCACCATGCACCATACACGATGACTGTATTGAAAAATAACATTAATTGCGTAATGAAGAATTACAAGTAGAGGGCGCTATTCTCTAACATGGCGTTTCTGGGCGAAGTCTCACTTCAGAAAGAACGGTAAGGTTTGGTGGACTGAGAGCATTCAGTCTCGTTGAAACAATTGAGGAAAGGGCAGAAAGGCTCTCCTTAGGTCCTCTTCCTGTGCCTTTAATCTAGAGAAAAGAATCTTGAAATATATGAATAAAAGACTTACTGCTTCTAGGCTTGTTGTTTTGCCCTCGGCATGCTATTTTACCATTGCATCTTATTCGGGAAAAACACATTGGCGGTATGTTTCGGGGGGGCAAGGCATGCGCTAACCCCGTATAGTTGAAAAATTTTCAGTTTCAATTTTTTAAGGTCAAGTTTAGCATCCCATGGCAGGCGCATTCTGTGGTTGTAGCTAGGTTATTACAACATCACCAAGTGGTAGAAAGCTCGGTTGCATTTTTTCACAGGTTGTAATTTTGTCAAGCAGTTTAATGATTATCTCCTACTCTTGTGAATCACAGATTCTCACTGTTACTTCTTGAACCTGGAGAAATTTATTTTGAAGATTTTAGTGTCTTCTTCTACCCACCTGAGCTTCCAGAAGAAGAGGCCATAAGGAGGTACAGAAACAACAACAAATGCTACGATGTAAATAGTAAACAAATTAACATAGAAATACATAGAAGGTAAATCATTCATTTACGAATGAATAAAATAGGTAACACCAATTTTTAACCACATTTAGTGTGTACTTTGGTGATGAATTGAAGAAATTCTTTAGAAATTTTAATCCATTAAGATCGTTAGATTTCCATTTTTCTGATTGTACATTGTTTTAATCTCTAAGTGTCAATTTGTTCACAGGAGAATACGAGGACGGTTAAAGGTTTGCTCCAAGTCTATCGTCTTTGACCCTCAGGACACCTCCCAGCCTGTCGTCAAGGTATAGCATCTTCCTTCAGTACATTCCACTGTTAGCCAAATCCACTACAATATTTTCCTTCAGCTAACAAGTAAGGGACTTGCATGCTGGCAGAATCATTTATTTTTATCAGCTCAGAAAGAGAGAGCTTCCAATTTTCGGAAATTCCAAAGTCTCATGGTTTGATGTTGAGAATGCTTTCTTCTAAAACCCGAGCTTCATAGGGATGTAGTGTGAAATTAATTTGTCTCTGACAGGGAAGGTTACTCGGTCTTTTGTTTTCTCTACAGCTTCCTCTTCGAGAATGTATCAAGATTGACAAATGGACAGGTCCACTCCTCTCCAGGTAGGTATATTTCGTGGATGGGAACTTTTCTCCTATAGCTTGCCTTAAAGTAATAATATTGAGGACTTAACATCCCTACCACAGCAAGACTGAGCGATGAAGCATGCCTCTACAACGTCCTTGGGCCACAGACATGGAAATGTGCTTTAAGCAGCCACAACCGAACTGTATATGATCACAATGCAGACTGGTTCAGGTTTTTTCTGACATTTTAATCTTTGGAGCCAGTTGTTAATCATTCAGGGGAAAAATTCTGACAATCCAGGCCAACTGAATTTTTTGTTTTTCTTTTAGGCTCGGCAGCCGAGAGGATGTTATTGTCATCAAATGCAAGCAGAAAATTGAAATGAAGGCCAATAACATCATCGGACCATATGAGTTTAAAAAGGTAAGGTTTACAAGTGAGTGTGACCTTTTGACCTTTGAACTTAGTTAAGTCTCAGGTTGTTGAGACCACCCAAAGCTTGTTGAGATAAAAATGGAAGTAAGAAATCCAAACTAAAGTAACTCTGGGAATTGATTGATGATGGTAGCATCAGAAATATTGTGGGACATGGCTTAGATTTGTTATTTGTGAAATATTGCTGAAATTGGTCCCTAAAAGTTCCCAAATCCGCATCTTGTTGTAATAAGTATTTTTAATCTGATTTTCAACTGATTATTCACTTTCTTTTTTGTTTAAGGGTATTTCCAAGCACCTTTTTTCGTTAAACTATGTCACCCCTGATGATGTGCTCCAAATGATGTGTCAGTTACACAGGGCATCTACATTGCCACTGGCCGATGAAGCAGGCATGGTATGTGAACAAAAAGAACTGATCTCCCGCCGGCCCTGACCCCTTGGGTATTTTTGTCAAGAACTATAATCGATCTTCTCAAATCTCTGCAGAGGAAAATTGAGGTTTTGACTTTCACAGGGCATCGAACCTCATGCATATGTTAGGCGTGATCAATTAATCTTTTGTAAATTTCTACCATCAGCCGATCATTTTTTTCTCTCTAATTCATTGTTCTGAAAGATTGTTATTACAAAATGGGAATTAAAGTTGGCCTTTCCCACAGGATTCACCAACTGTGCAGCATAATTCACCAGTCTTGGAGTTGCAGAGCTCTTCTCTCCTACTGAATCCTCCAAAACCTGAAAGACTTTGTAGGAATTGGGATTGTTGCAATAAAACACATACCACTGAGAGTCCCGCAAGTTTCAATGAGGTGAAAAACAAGTTGAGGTATTGAAAGCGTTCTTACTCTTGACAGATAGCAGCCATCGTCTTCTCTTACTACAACCGCATCAAGTTCAACACCAGTTGGCTGGAGACCTTGTACGAGCAGATCGTCATGGAGACGTCGGGAGATCACATCACACCGTTGGTTGTCAACCCAGGCCGCATCATGCTGACTTCCTCTAGGTTATACTTCCAACCCTTCAACAATGTGGAATCGGTCAGTGCAGATTACACACTCGGGAATGGTTACAGGAATTATTTTTTTTCACCCTTGTCAGAGTCACGCATCTAAAGATGAAGTTATAAACTGTTTTCCCTGCCTCTTCTCTCCACAGATATTGTCAGGAAGGATGTTTATCATAATTATTCAATAAAGTGTGATTGACTTTATTTTTCCTGTCAGACCATTTTTATTGGCTGTGCTATGGCAGTGAACTTACATTGGTTGTGACTAAATCTTAATTGTTGATGTCTGATATGTCGTCAGGTTCCTGTTATCAAGATCAAGTTGTCTGATATCAAGAGATTAACAAAAAGACGGTTTCTTCTCCGAGAAGTGGTATGCCTGACAACTCTTGTCAAATTTCTGAAACTCTGTTAACGAGGAACGCTTTGCTTCTGACCAAATTACATATTGAAATAGGTTTAGTCATCTCTCTGAAAAGTGACTCTTGTTTGGGGATCACTGATATTCGGGGTAGTACCTCTGACAGCCTTGGCCAAATTCTTCCACTTTGGACCTCGAGCTGGGCCAAGAGAGGGCGCTACTTTCTTGGCAGTGGAGGCTCCTTTGGTTGGAACTGAACTCTGCTGGTTCACGAACAACTAGCAAATGCATGTATTACGGTTGCATTGCTGCCAACTAATTGAACATTCCTGACCAACGCGGCTCTTTTCAACTGATGAGGGGGTGCTTCTGCTCGAGGCGGACAGAGAGCAAGGGCCAACTTGTTAAGCCCAAAGTGACTTTTATTGACCATCGGAACGCAAGAATTCTGCGATCTTGAGAATGCACATTTCTGATAAGTCCTTGTACAGTTACCTCACCTCAGGCTCAATGAATGGCAAAAATATGGAGTTAATTTGACCGAAATTCTTAGATAATTGAACTTATTTATAGTATGGGAATGAAACCACAGATTGTATAGGTTAGGCCATGCACTCAAAGCGAGAAAAAGACCATTGGTGCTTTTTATTTTCTTTGGTTTTTTAAAATTTCCCCCCCCCCAGGGTCTTGAAATCTTTTGTACGGAGGGATCATTCAAGTCCAACATGTTCCTGGCATTCTCTAAGCCGGAGGACAGAAACCGTCTGTACAAGGACATCTTGGCCCAAGAAGGTACGATTAGGAAACCACTCGAACGAAAACATCTCAAACACTTGCCGATGTTTACAAAGATTTTCATCAGTGATGAAATATTTACAAGATCTATCCATTTAAAGCTGACAACCAGCGATAAAGCTCTTTTCTAGACTAAACATACTTTCTTGAATCGTGTATCGCACCGGATGTTAGAATATTTCATTTGTCTCTAAGCCTGCTTGAATACTTCGTGGGATATGCCCAGGTGTGTCGTTGAAGGAATCGCCACCGGAGAACATGACGCTACTCTGGCAAAATGGCATCATCTCCAACTTTGACTACTTGATGTACTTGAACAGGTAAAACAATTTTCATGAGAATCCGTTTTCCATCATAACGTCTTTTCTATCTTGTCTAGTTTTTGTCTAATCTTAACCCCCTCGGAGTACAGTGTGCATTTCCTGGTTTCATATCCTACGCAATCCGCCACAACGATCAGATGAAAAAGTGATTCGCAGAATTATATGCTGAAGGAAAAACTTAATGAGAACCAGTGACATATATATCCATTACATGATAGTTTGGTTGGTTACCAGCTATGGTGAGTCACTGTTTGTGTAGACATCGGCACTGCTCAGCTTACTTAGGTTATTGGATATGGAAGTTTACCGCATAATACTGGATATCTAGCTGAGAGATTGAAAATGTCAGGAGCCATGATATTATCTTCATTTTAACTGGGTCATCTGTCTTGACCTTTGACCTGTAGCCAAGCAGACAGGAGCTTCAATGACCTGACCCAGTACCCCGTCTTCCCATGGATCATTGCAGACTACACCAGCGAGGAGCTGGACCTGGCTAACCCTGCAACATTTCGAGACCTCAGCAAGCCAGTTGGGGCGCTCAACGCGGAGCGATTAGAAGCTTTTAAGGTAAAGAAAGGTCCACGTTCACCTGGATACCTGCCAACACAGAGGCAACGAAACAACACCCTATTACCTCAAGAGATTCCGAAATTTCATCGATCACTATGATTCGTTGCTCAGTTTGTGTGTCAAGCACGTAACTGTCCACAGCTAAATGGTATCACTCAAACATTCAAAGTGATGTGAATTATTTGTATTGATTACAGGAGCGGACGATCGACATGCCGGAACCTAAGTTTCTCTATGGTTCACATTACTCCACCCCAGGTTATGTGTTGTACTACTTGGTACGAGTGGCTCCAGAATATTCTTTGTGTTTGCAAAACGGCAAGTTTGACCAAGCGGATAGGCTGTTCAAAAGGTAAACCAATCAAGCAGGTGCAGTTGTCTTTGTTCCTAGGCGTTCCCGATTTCTTACCATGTTGTGTGTTAATGCTAATTTGTTGATTTCTCTGTGTTTCTCTTCAGCATTGCGGAAACGTGGAACAACGTCCTGTCCCTCCCTTCGGACGTCAAGGAACTTATCCCTGAGTTCTACCAGCCGGAAATGGCTGACTTCCTCATCAACAGGAGCGGGCTGAACCTAGGGGTGCAACAGGATGGGTCAAAGGTCAATCGAGTGCAGCTGCCGCCTTGGGCAGAAGGTATTGGCCACTTTGGACACTTAAACGATGATTTTAAATTAAACGAGCGTGAACAGTTTTCACGTACAATATACCAATATGTACCTTTGGTAGCTAGCTTGCTTGCTACCGCTTAGCATAGGTTCTTCAAATGGAGTTTTTAATTAACAATACACGGTTGAAGAGTTTTTCAATCATTGGATTTTTTAGATGAGGTGGATTTCTGTCGGAAGTGTCGCAAGGCACTGGAATGCGATCATGTCTCCCAGAACCTGCACGGCTGGATTGACCTTATCTTTGGCTACAAACAGCGGGGACCTGAAGCCGTGAATGCTGATAATGGTAATAAAGAATTGCTCCTGGGAAAGGAGACAGGATTCTAGACTTAGAATTGTTGGATGGAGGGATGGTTTATATAAAACTTTTAAACAATTTGATCTGAAGTAATTTTAAAATTTCAATGGCCTAGTTGAACTAATTTGTTTTTGAAAACCTGCTCTGTAGTTATCAAATGAATCTGATGAGTTAATTGGGTCTGACGTTTTGATCCCAGCAGAAATTTCCAAAGGTAAATAACTTGACTTGTGCCAATTTGGTTTGATAATGTCGTATTGAAAACAATTGAGGTTATTGTTTCAACAGTTAATCAGAGGGGTACATCTGCACTGGATTTTTTTGAAGCTTTTTGTGTCCTGTGGTTTATATTTCATTCAGTGTTTTACTATCTGACCTATGAGGGCGCTATTGATCTGGATAACATCAAGGACCCCAATGAGAGAGCAGCCATCAAGGTCCAGATCATGGAGTTTGGACAAACGCCAAAACAGCTCTTCATAAAGCCACACCCAAGCAGGTAGGCGGAACCTGGCTTACGAACGAACCCGGGCAGGGCCTTTCATGTGTTCCCAATGTTCAGGTTGCTTTGAACCCCCCAAGGGTCAGACTTGACCAATCAGCCGTTCGTCATTTTTTTTTCACGGACAGGTTCTCCCCGGCTGGGCCAGCATCGAGACATTCCAACAACAGCAGTCCGGTTCCGATCCCACCCCCTGTTGACGATAAACCAACAAGCGACAGGCCGAGATCTGACTCTGACGTTCTCACTGAGGGAACCCACCCTGCTGCGGAAGATCTGGAAGGGGAGACAGGTAAATCCGAAAGGAAAATCCTATCATCATCTAGCTGGGAGCCAGTTTCTCCAGACTGAAGCCAAGGTTGGATCCAAGGCAGGCCAACAGGGGCTGCCCCTTCTCAAAAAAAGAGCCACAGAAATTAGTTTTGAGAAAAGAAATGAGAGGAAGGCAGTGTTTGTGGTCTTATTCCCTTCCTCCCAAAATTATTCTCAATGCCCCCAAGATGTAACCTCACCCTCCAGAAAGGCCGGATCAGGTTACTTGGGAAAAAGTCCAAATTGTCTGCACCCCTCCACTTGAAACAAGTTTGTCCCCCTCCCTGAAACTTTGGCCCTGGATCCGCCTTTGACTGAGACAAGAATTGAGCCAAGCAAATCGATGTGTCCAACAAAACCGAGCCTAGGACCACTTCAGAGTAATTACTATACAAGCACTTGATCAAGATGTCTCGTTGATCTCAGTAGAATCTTTTTACGTCAGCTAAAGCGTGATTCACTAGTTTGAATGTATTTTGCGGTACTTGTTGGATTTCTATTTATCCATTATTGTTTGAAGATTACTTTTGCTTTAAATTTACAATCACTTCACAGTGAACAGGTTCTCGCCAAATATTCAAATATTGGACTTTGACCCTCCCAAATCAATATCCAACATTAAATCTTCCTGGGTATCGATTGCTTCTGCACTGTGCAGACCCCAGGTACCTTGTGTTAGGCTTGCTGTGTGGATCTTGCAACTGTGTTAAGTTCTTTGTTTCTGTCACGTTTAGTCAAAGTCTCGTTTGATTTATGATCATTGCCCTGCAGCTAGCTCTGCTCCAAGGAAAGGATCTCCGTTGTCACACCAGTGGGATCGGATGGACCAGTTACAGCCATCCTGTCAGCATAAACTGCACAAGGAGTAAGGGAATCCGTCCCTAGGAACATTGCAATAGACCCTGCTCTGCTAGACCCAGTTCAGTGACATATTGTCGGTCACACCAAGAAGTGGCACATTATGTACGGTCGCCCACACTAGAAGCTGCCATTTTGCATCCATGACGTCTTGATAGGTCATATCATGGTGTATCATGAATACTTTATCCATCACTTTGTGGGACAGCTAACAACCTGTTCTCAGGAAATTGTGCATGGCTGTGAAATTTGTTACAAAAACTGTTGATAAGGCAATTCAACTCTTGTTCCGTTTATCTGGAATTCCTTTTAAAACCATTCGATTTATTTTTGTTTCCTGTTCAGTACCGTCAAAGATGTCCAGGTCTCTGACAACGGGAAAATGGTTTTCTCTGTATCTCTAGGTAAAACACACTCTCCTTTGTTGGTGTCATAGATGCTTACTTTGAAAGTAGCCAAAGGTTTTCCAATCACAAGATTTGATGACATTTTGCATTGAGGCTACTCAGGGTGAGGCCATGATGTTTGGGCAGCAGGACCACAGAAGACAGATTGAATGACCACCATGATGTTAAAGTCCAACGAGTGTTGTAAAGTTTTTGGACAAGCATTCCTGCTTAACCTAAGATCTTTAGAACATGTTCCAAATGTTCAGCATTTCTGTATGTGAAGCGTGCTGCCCCATCAGAAAATTATGTTTTGCCGACATGATTAGGATCAGCATGTCACCTAGAACCACTTCAGAAGTTGTCTTTGAGACCTAGTCACGGGATGAGTCCTGTCTTTGTCTGTTTAATTCCGACAGACACCAGTTTGAAGCTATACTCGACTGAAGACCAGCGCCAGCGGCGCAGCATCAACATATCCAGTATGCCGCTCTCGTCCTTGAGTGCAATGCCTGATGGGAAGACAGTCCTTGTTGGATCCTGGGACAACTCACTGTAAGTGAATCATAACTAAGGTTGGGAATTTATGTTTAATTTGAAAAAGAACTTTCCCATATCGTCTAAACATTTAGCCAACACTTTACAGAGGCCACCCCCACCTGTCTCAGTGTTGATTGATGTTGGGCGTTGAAAAACAGCATTGTTTATTGTTTTAGAATCCCCTCGTTTTCTCAGAAAGTACATGGCTGGCAAAAGGGAAAAACACGTTATGTAACAGGCATCGTTTACAATAAAAAGGGAACGCCAGATTGTGTCAAGCAAAAAAAGGTCAAACCTCTAAAAGGGGCAGTTCCGTTTAAACGTTTGGGAAAAATCTGTAAATGGATTAGGAACTTTTTTCGTTTAAACCTGTAAACGTCCCCCCCTTCATCGTAGCAAAACACACTCCCTACAGACTATGCTAACAGTCTTTGTTTTCTTATTTGCTGTGAAATTGATATCTGTGCATCCATAAAACCCGAGATATTCCTGCAACTTCTTTCTGTGTTTTTTTTCCTCTGGTGTGCTTTGGTGTAAGTTTTCGTTTGATTTGTCCTTTTTTTTAGGGTGTAAATGAATATGGACGATTAAAAAAGCTTCGTGGATCGAAGGGGTTTGGCACATGATTTTCTTGAAATTCTGCTGCAGCCTACTTTTTGGGCATAAAATGTCCCCAGTAGGAACGAGTAACATTCCCAGCAATTCAGTTTGCTGGAGCCAGTGTCATAAGCTGTACCCAAAGCTTTTCTTTTCCTTTCTTCTGTTCAATCACTCGTCCAACTTATCACTCACTTTTAATCAATGTAAATTTTCCAAGATACCTGTACTCTATCGAGTACGGCCGCATCGTGGACAAGCTCATGGCTCATGATGACGCGGTCTCTGCATTGCGCCTGCAAGGCGATATCTTGGTCACTGCGTCCTGGGACTCGACGGTCAAGGTCTGGACAGGAGAGAGTCTGTGCGGGGAGGGGAACGGTAGCGTCCGGTTGGACAGTGTCCAGATGATGGCCGAGTTCGATCATGAAACAGGGGTATGTTCAGTCATAAGGTTGAGTTTCCATAGCGATACCATACCAACTCTGGCAGATTATCAGACAATCTTACAAACGTTTATGACTGTTAACCTTACAAGTACAGCAGCCCTCCTTTCCTGAAGTTGCTGTCTCGCTGTATTCAAAATTGGCTATGCGTCTCGATGGTGGATAGTTAGATTCCAAAACGTGAGATACCAATTGTGTTTGTGTGCAAAATGGCAATGCTAATAGAACATTTATTGTTAATTCCAAAATGGATGATGTATTTGGCATTTGTGTCGCAAAGAAAATACGGATGGATTTGTTAACTCGTGGCCTTTCTGTTTGTGCAGGTGAGCTGTTTTGACGTCAACAGCGATAATTCGTTAGTCTTGTCGGGTACGCGTGACAGCACCGTGTACATATGGGACATCGCATCGCGTTCTATGCTGAGATCCAGCATGAGTCACACCGGTATGGTTCATGACGTCAAGTTCAGTCCAGGTGAGGTTGCGCTAGCATTTGCCCATAAGGCAGCCTCTGAAATTACTTACTTAAAACCAAAAGGCGCTTCTCAGTTTGTCTTCCCAAATGCTTTACTCGTCAGTTTTTGGCTTTAAGATATTAAACCTTTAAACTAGGGGTATCGTGAGGGGAGGGAACTCTAACGAAATCCTGGCAAAGCCCGTGCTTGAAACCTGATAGCTCAATAAAATCTCATAGCTTAATTCTGCAGATGGCAAGAAAGTCTTATCAGCTGGAGAAGATCGCTTCATGAGAGTGGTTGATGTCCAGACAGGGACGGAAGTATTTGCCAAAGAGACAGATAATGAAATAAGGTACTGTAAGTCAGTCACTTTGCTACCATAAAAGCAGGATATCTTAAAAGAAAAATATCAATACTTGTCACAGCTGATCTACCTTGGAATTGTAGTGTCTGTGATATGCATTTTCGAGTGAAAAAAAAGGGAACAAAGTCATTAATGTGGCTTATGCAATACATTGAAGAGATGAATTTTCTCTCGGTTACTGACAAAAGTCCAAGTATTCTTCGTTACTTTTTCGTTTGTGACTGTTTCCTTTGTTTTTCCGACTGCGTTGTAATGTTCAGATGTGTTGTCTGGGGCGAGAATACCGTGTTAGCTGGGAGTTCGTCTGGGGAGCTGTTGGTGTGGGACATGACCAGGGCACAACTCGTGGCTAGCATCCCAGGTCATGATGGTAGGTCAAAGATGGATGGTTGCAATTGTGTGTCTGTGTCTATCACATCTTGGGACGGTAGTGTCCGAGTGTTAACCCCTTCACGTTGAGAGGCGGCTAGACACGCCGTAAAAATTGAGATGCTCAGCTCGCTTTTCAGCTAATATTCTCAGCCCACGCTCGAGCGAACATGGTGAAAGAAGGCAGACCCTGGCTCTTGTATATATGGTGATTGGCCTTTGTGCGTAGCCCAGAAATGAAAAGACCGAATTTGCATCA